TGGGGAGTGGGAGGTTTTATGGAGGATGACGGAGAAGCGGGTGGGGCGGCGGAGGAGGGCGGTGTATCGGGTGATGTCTTTGCGGACTCGCCAGAAGACGCCGGGGGAGAGGGAGAAAGGGGTAGAGGTGCGGAGGATCTCAGCGCCGGCGATCCAAATGGCGGCGATGCGGTCTTTCTGTATGTGGGAGGAGGCGGCGGAGAGGTCGAGGATGACGCGGGACCAAGGGGAGGGGCAGTTGGGAGGGGGAGTGTAGGTGAAGGAAGAAGGAGGAGAGGAGGTGGAGGTGGTGGTGGTGGAGGAGAAGTCACGGTGGAGGATTTGGAGGGAGCATTGGGGGGGTTGGGAGGGGAGGAGGGGAGGGAGAGTGGGGTCCATGTATTCGAGGGTGGTGTTTTGGGGGACCGGAGGGGATTGTGGCGCTGGCGTCGGCGGCGGGGGAGTGGCGAAAGTGTACTGATGTTTGGAAGAATGTGGGAGTGATGATGATGAGGGGAAGGAGAGGGAGAGGAGGAGGAGGAGGAGGAGGAGGTGGTGGAGACGGCGGCGGCGGCGGGATTCCATTTTTTTTTTCCTTTTTCGGGACTGGAGTGACAGAATTAATGGTTTAGGGAAGGGTATTTATATAGGGGTTAGTTATTTATTATTATTATTATTATTTTATTAATTTTTAGCATTAGTTGTTATTTTCCTTTTATTAATCTGGTTAATGAAATATTTTGGGGGTGAGCTGAGATGAGGATGCTTCGAGGTAATTTCGGCGACTCAACCGTTCAGTATTTTGTAGTGGTTTTGGTACTGTACTTTGAGTGGAGGTGGGGGGAAATGGAATCCTATATATAGAGGGAGGGAGAGAGGTAAGGCTTATGGTTTGTGCTTAATTTATAGTAATGTTGGAGATGGTAACTTTTTATTTGATTATATTAGTTTTCTTTCTTAATTTGAATTAGTTAAAAAGTTAATATTATTATAGGGCTAGAGAGAAGAGAGGAGTGGAGTGATAAATAGGGAGAGAGGGAGAGAGGATCTAGTGCAACAAATGGAATGTCATTAATACCCCTAATCCGAATGTGGCTTGCAACGAACTGTAGGCGTTTAATTAATCGTCATCTAGTCATCTTTTGTCACGGTAGAATGTGCTCGGTAGGCTTTGCTTTGTTAGACATCTTTAGAAGGTATGTCTCTGGCGGGATATTGGACCTCTATGCGGTGTAGTTGCGTCTGAAAGTACTTGTGAGGCTGACTCTTTCATCGAGTTGACTCACTTGAAGGGTAAATTTTTGTATAGGATTGACATACTTTATTGTGGGTCAAATGTAGAAGGTTCGACCATTATATGATGAATCTTTCGATGGGTCGGTTTTACTTATAATTGGGGATGCCAATCCGATATGTAAATTTATTCGACAGGCAAGTCGGCCCGAAGAATGAATCAACATCAACAATTTCATAAAATAGAACCACCTTACACAAAGGTCAAATATCCCTCTAGAGACAGACCATTTAAGGATGTCTGACTAAGCAAATCCAACCAAGCAATGCCTACTGAGCAAAGTTTATTGTGATAAAAAACAACTGGAGGATGATTAACCACTTGCAAATCGTTGTGAGCCCTATCTAGATAAGGAGTTAAAATAACATTTCATTTGTTATACTAAATCCTCTATAAATAGGGGGAAAAAATTATTGTAAAAACGGACGAATATTTACCATTCATAAAGCATGATATACCCAATATAGAAATCACTTCTCTTCCTATCTATCCCTTCATTCCTCTCATGCTTTATTTCTTGGGCGTGATTTACGGATAATTTCAGATTCAATAAAATGATTGTATTAAAAATATTAAATATTATTTGTTTTTTAAATCATATAAGCTAATTTTGAGTTCATCACGAGCTGAAACTAATAAATGAATCTGAATGAAATCAAACAAGAAACTATATATATATATAGATAGATATTGATGAGAAGTTTTTTTTAAAAAAAATTACTATAATGCTATAGAGATTTATAACCAATTAATTTTTTTATTAAAAAAAATAGAATAAAAATATATTAAATTATATTTAAATGATGTTTAAATATGCACAATAGGATTTAAATCTTGCCTCAACCCTTTATATCTTATGATTTTGTGATTATGGTTGTCAAAACGACTCTTTGTTCGCAAAAAACTATTGTTCGGCTCGCTAAGCAAATGAGTCAAACACGAATACACTGTTATAATTCGGGGTGTAAACGAGCCGAACACGAGCTGAGCCTAGGCTCGCTCTTGTTCGGCTCGTTTACACCCCTACATATCACTCAATCCCTATTTATTTACATAACTAACACCGAAAGGTTTGAAATTTACATTCATAGCATTTTGGCCTATGTATGAGAAGATGTATTTGAGTTTTAACAATTGAGATAGTTTTAACGTGATACTCAGGATTTGAGAGTCAATAGATGTAAATATTAAAGTTTACGTGCTAGATATGTAAATATATTAAAATATGTGGCATGTATCTAAGTGCACCTTAACATAAATATCCACGGATAGATGGCAGCAGAGTAAATGTACTATTAGCATTAAATTCATAACAATCATACAAAATCAAAAAAAAATTATTTGAAAAATAATAAGCTTCAGGGGTTTGAAGATTAAATAGCATAAATATTCAATGGAGCAGACTATATAATGGGCAAGCCATGTCATACATTTACGTACATGCCACTAAATTTCTATGAATTTACATATCTAACACTTCACTTCCGGCTTGTTATTTATAATCCACTGCAACCTATCTGAGGTCTAATTATTGCGTGCGGAGAGACATACGTGCGCTCTCCGATCACAACCGCCCAGCGAG